CTCTGAGCTGTCAGCACAAGGCCCAACAGGGCAACTTATCAACCATGAGATCATGACCTGAGCGGAAGTCTGATGCTTTAACCAGCTGAGTCACCTAGGCGCCCCTGGGTGATCTGTTTTATATATGTTAATTAGATCCTGCTGATTGATTGTGTTGTTCAGATCTTTATCCTCAAGACTTTTTGCCTACTCCTTCTACCAGTTACTGGAGGGGAGGCATCTTGAGGTTCCCAGCTCTAATCAGAGATTCTTCTCTTTCTCATTTCAGCTTCATCAGTTATGCTTCATGTATTTGACGTATTGTGGTTTAGTTCATAGACATTTAGTATCATATGTCTTCCTGGCAGATTGATCCTTTTATCTTTATATAATGTCTCTGTTCTCTGGCAATTTTCTTTGCTTTGAAGTCAACTTTATGGGATATTAATGTTGCCATTTCTGCTCTCCTCTTTTACTATTAATGTGCACATAGTATATCTTTTCCCACCCTTTCACTTCAACCTGTGTAGGAATTTGAAATTAGTGCTCCAAGTGAATTTCTTACATGCATCATACAGTTGTATGTTTGGTTGTTGTTGTTTTAATTTGCCAATTTCTGTGTTTTGATTGGTGTATTTAGACCATTTATGATTAAGGTAACTATTGATATATTACCATTTTAGTATGCTATTTTATTATTTATATTCTATTTGTTTTCTTTGCTTCTCATTGCTTCTTTTTCTCTTGCCTTTTTGGAAGTTATTTGAACATGTTTTAGGATTCCATCTTGATTTATTTATAGCACTTTGAGTTTGTCTCTCTATAATTTTCATAATGGTTGCCCTGGGTGCTACTTATAATGATGTACTAGTATCAACATTTACCACTTCAAATGAAGTATAGAAACTTCACTTCCATTTAGGTCCCTTTACCTTCCTCACCTTTAAATGTCATTTTAAGTATTAGAATTATAATTTTTGTTTTAATCAATAAATATGATTTATGAAACTTATAAGAAAAAGAATTGTTTATTGTATGGACTCGTATTTCTGTTCTTTCCATTGTTTCTTCTTGATTCCTCATGTTGCAAGTTCCCTTCTTTCATCATTTCCTTTCTGTATGAAGAACTTCCTTTAACCAGTCTTTTAAGGGTAGCTCTACTAGTCATAGAATCTTTTAATTTTCACTCATTTGTGAATGACTTTATTTTTCCCTTCATTCCTGGAAAATAGTTTTTCCAGATAGAGAATTATGGTTAACAGTTCTTTTCTTTCAGCACTTAAAAAATGTTTTGCCATTTCCTTCTTCCTGGTTTTACATGAGAAATCCATTTAAACTGGTACTCCCCTACAGATAGTGAATTGTTTCTCTCTGGTTGCTTCCAGGAGTTTTTGTCTTTTTTTTTTTTTTTTTTTTTTTTTTTTTTTTTTTTTTTTTTTTTTTTTTTTTTTTTTTTTTTTTTTTTTTNTTATTGTCAAATTAGTTTCCACATAACACTCAGTGCTCATCCCCACAAGTGTCCTCCTCCATGCCCAACCCCCCCTCCCCCCCACATCCATCAGTGTTGTTTTTTTTTTTTTTAAATGTTTAATTATGATATATCTTAGCATGGTTCATGTAGGTTTATTCTGGTTGGGTTCATTCAGCTTCTAAGTTCTTTCAATCTCTAGATTGGTGTCTTTCATCAAATTCAGGCAGTTCCCAGCCATATTTCTTCAAATCCTCATTCACTCCCACTCTTTCTACTCTACTTCCTGGGACTCCAATGATTATGACTGTTGGATATTTTGTTATAACCTCACAGGTCCCTGAGGCTCTGTTCATTTCTTATAGTTTCTTTTCTTTTTTTAAAAAAAATCTTTTCTTTAATGTTTATTTATTATTGAGACAGAAACAGAGCATGAGTGGGGGAAGGGCAGAGAGAGGAGGAGACACAGAATCTGAAGAAGGCTCCAGGCTCTGAGCTGTTAGCACAGAGTCTGACACGAGGCTTGAACCTACCAACCGTGAGATCATGACCTGAGCCAAAATCAGACACTTAATTGACTGAGCCACCCAGGCGCCCCTCTAGTTTATTTTCTATTGTTCAAATTGAGTGAATTCTATTTTTTTTATTTAATGTTTATTTATTTTTGAGACACAGAGAGAGAGAGCATATGAGCAGGAGAGGGGCAGAGAAAGAGGGTGGCACGGAATCCGAAGGAGGCTCCAGGCTCTGAACTGTCAGTACAGAGCCCAAAGCAAGGCTCAAATTCATTAACTGTGAGATCATGACCTGTGGTGAAGTCAACCATTAGCCAACTGAGCCACCCACGTGTCCGGAGTGAATTCTATTGTTATGTTCACTGATTCTATCCTCCACCATTTCCACTTTACTGTTGTGCCCATCCAGTGAGTTTTTAATTTCTACTCTATTTTTCAGTTTTATGATTTCCTCTTCTTTTTTGCATAACTTCTATTTTTTTTAGATTTTTCTGTTTTTTCATTTAAGATCATTTGTAATTGATTGTTGTAGTTTTTTTATAACGTCTGCCTTCAAATTCTTATCAGATAATTCCAATGTCTGATTCATGTCAACTTGGCATCAGGTGATTTTGTTTTCCATTCAAGTTGTGATTTTCTTGGTTCTTGGTTTGTGTCCTGGTCATTTTGTCTATTATGTTAAAATACTCTAGGTCCTATTTTAATATTTTATTTTACAGGAAGTTTAACAGACAAATTTTGGCCTACTTTTACAGGCCATGAGTTCAATGACAGTTTAATTTTCAGAATCTTCATGATGTCATGTTGGTCTACTTGATGTATGTGGTGCTGGTGGGGCTCACTCTGGTCTATGTTGGTGCTGCCTGAGAGGATGCAAGGAATTCCCTCTAGCTGAGTTGCCAGATATCTCTTGGTCAGGAAAGGGTGCATTGAAATCCTTTTCTTGGTGTTCCCCTGTTACCCTAGTTTATCTGAGTCAGGGAGGAGAGTCTCAGTTTCATGAAGACAAAATGGCCCAGGCAGCTAGCTGTGACAGGTCTGTTTTCTGGCTCCATAGTCAGCCCTACTGTATCTGCGCAGAGGAGGAGAGTCTCTGGCTCTTGGGAACAAAGAGGCTTTCTCAGCTGGGCCACCTGCTTTACCTGAGTCTCTCCTAACTGGTTCTTCCCACCCACTATAGTTTCGCTCTTCCCTGGCCCAGCAGGGAAGGAGTATACTTCCTCTGGTCACTTATTTTGGCAGGGCTTCTAGTCGGTCCCCATTGCGTGAGGTTGTCCTAGGGACTGCCATGAAATCCAGGGGGAAAGAATGGGCTGTTACCTTCTGTTGCTGGATGGGAAGTTGGAAAATGCCAGCTCTGGGTGGTTATCTTTTTTTGATTGGGGGATTCAAGATGCCCTGCCTCTGTGTTGTTCCTCAGGTCCTGGGTTCCCAAACCAGTTTGCCTTCTTCTTAGAGCCCTTTAGAGTTCTCCTTTGCCTGTTTCTTGTGCCATTTCCAGGGTTTATAAAGTTGCACTTACTGAGGAGGAGCAAATAAAAGAAGGTCTATGTCATCTTGTCCAGACCAGAAGACCCTCACCTACTGAGTTTTATGTCTTTTTATGTTTGTTTATTTTTGAGAGAGCGTAAGTGGGAGAGGGGCAGAGAAAGCAGGTTCAGAAGATCTGACGGTGCGGAGCCTGACATGGGGCTTGAACCTGTTGACCGGGAGACCATGACCTAAGCTGAAGTCAGATGCTCAACTGACTGAACCACCCAGGCAATCCTGAATGTTATGTCTTATCTGTTAAATTTTTTCCCCTGCTTTGCTATTTTAGATGTAGTTATATTATCGACATAAAAAATCCCAAAGAAACCTTTGCTCAATGCAGGCATTTAACCTGTTTTCTCTAGAGGTAATTAATGAGGCTGGGGGTAAAATGAATGTGTCAACACAATAGGATCTAAATTGAGCATAAGGCCATACACATAAAGATACTGTTGAGGAACACAAACACACCCCTCCTTTCAGACCATCTCCTTCTCTGCTCAAGGAGGGTGTCTACATCAAGCACAAATGGGTTCATAAAACCACCAAAGGAGCTGGAGGGAGTGGTTCAGCTTATTACAGGGAGGGCATAGCCCACTCCTCCTGAGTTTCTTGGAGTGGCAAAACCTACCTGGATGTTTCTACTTGGGAAATCTCAACTCTGCAAGGCTGAGTGGTGCCAAGAGAAAGGTGACTCCAAAACTATCCAAGTTGGCCTGGCTCTTCTCTCAACTTTAGTAGGGAAGAAAACTCCATTTAGTCGAGTTGTATCAAAGTAGATATTTATTTGGGGCAGAATCCTTAAGTCAGTACATTTTCTTTCTAATTTATTTATATACTTTGTTGTTCCCAAGAAGCATTCAAAGTGATTTTGATGGATACATAATATGTAAGAATATATAAATTAGATATAGGCCAAAAAAAAAAAAAAAAAGCAAGAAGAAAACACAGACAGGAATAAGTTTGGTGCAAAATTGCTTCTTGTGATTTTCAACACTTGCATAAATAACCTATGAGAGAGCATATTGCTGGAGCATTTCCCATGCCATCTCTGACTTGACCCTCAAGAGCACTGAGGACTGGGCATGGGTACAGCAAAGTGTACTCCTAATATGGAGGTATGCTATAGAGATAGAGACAAGTTACCATGGAAATTTCCCATATACTATTCAATAAATTTCCTGCACCTGATACATGTTTGATTTCTTCTTAAAGATTCCTGAGTTCTCACTTTGAAATTGGCCATGGTTCTGAGCTGTGTAACCTAGTTGAAGACTCCAGCTACTAAGTGTCTGAGGGATCATATCCCAGTTAGGGTCCATTACATGTCAGATACTCTAAATGTGTAGAGTGTGAGCCAAAGCTAACACTATAGTCATTAATTCCTCAAACTTTTGTTTTTAATATTCTTCTACTTTATTCTCAGAATATAAGCCACAACTGTTAGATATGGACTTATAGAGTCCCTCCCAAGTCAGCTGGTGATGTTGATGACATGCAGAGCTGAGAAGTAGCCAAAGAAGTAGTGCTGTGCCCGGTGACTAAATGACCACACTCCTTCCACTATGGGAGCTGTCTCTCTCCTGGGGAATAGAACACAAAAAAAAATCCAGTCAGCTGGGATCTATTGTCTATGCATACACCATACAAGATGCACTTGATTCTGTGCAAATCCTAGGTGAGTGGTGGATGCTGGGACAGCATATATGAATCTAAAAAATATTTCTTGACTCTTCATAAAGCCAGTTTCTTCCCCAGGCTTAGGTTTCTCTTCTTTCATATCTCCCTGGAGCCTCCCTCAAACATCTTTAATTTTTGAAAATTTCCTAGTCTCATTCACTTTGTAACCTGCTGATTTTAACATCTTTAAGTCTCCCTTAGGCTGAAAAAAAAAAAAAAATACCCTGTCCATTCATCAGCCCATCTCCCTACCATTTGTTCATAAAGACACATTCCAGGCCTTTTCCTACTTATATTCTCCTGAACCATTCCTTCTTAGCCCTTCTAAAAAGTTAAGCTTCATACCTTAGTTTTTCCCTCAAGTTATTTTTCAGAGATCATTAATTATCTTTCCTGACCAAACTCTGTGGCTTTTCTTCAGAAGTTAGTCCACTCGATCTTTTGGCTTTTTCAACTTGTTCTATCAGGGCAAGGACTATGCCTACACTTCTCATATTTCTCTAACTATATATTGTAGGGGATCATTTCTATCTAAGTTTTGAATATCTACAGCTGTAGTCCATGAATGTGACCTTGTTTATCTTACTTGAAATGGCAAATTAAGGTATCTGTCCCAAAACATACTGTTCAAAATGCATTGTATATGTATATACATTCATGTTGCTATAGAAAAAAATGTATTTCCATTTTATTAGGAAAGTGGTTTTTAGGGGGCATGGCTTCTAATCAAAATTCTATGGGATAAATGTTCTCTGATACAAAGGAAAGCAATGAAATGGGATGAAAGGAAAGCTCCTTGTGCAGGGCTTGCTGAAGAAAAACCTACACATGATCAAGGAATAGGCATTGTATTAAAAATAGATTAAGTATGTTGATTTAAAAAAGCTTTTATTAAACTGAGTCAAGAAAAATGAAAAAAGAAATCTTGGCTTCTCGATAGAAAGTTTGAATTTAACTTGGAGAGGAAGGAATGCAATAGTTTCTCTTATATTAGAACAGGTGTGTATAGGCCAAGCTTGCCAGACACCAGACATGCCTTGGGAAGCCCTTTCTGTTAGGGCAAGATTGGAAAGAAAGATAATCAGTTTGAAGGAGGTCAGGAACACGGGGGCAATGCAGTGTGAAACCACAGGAGTTTAAAGCTTGATATTATAGTTTCTTAGATTTCTGAGGTCTGGTGGAGTGGAACAAACACCAGACCTGAGGTCAGATCTCAACTGGTTTTGTAGTCAAATGGGAGACTCTTCAATATAACTTCCATTTTTTTCATGGGCACTGTGCAAAGAATAATTCTTATCTATTTTGGATGGAAGCTCTTGCTCCTTGGTATATATTTGTTAAACATTATTCTTCAGAGAGGTTTCCATGTAAGCCAAAAGAGTTTTTGATTCATGCATATTGCTCTGAATATTTAATAAAGTATTTTGATAAGTATTTGTAAAAAAAAAAAAAAGTATTTTGTAAAAAGTTATGGTAAAATTGTAACTGCTAAAAATTTAAGAAAATGGTGAACCATCAACTCAAGAACAGAAACTTCTAGTAATACATAATCAAAGATTGCCATCTAGTGGCCTAAGTGTATTATAAGTTCTGAAGTTATCTGCAAGCTCTGAAGACTTCAGAGGCTAGGAAAGTGTGTGGGAAGCATCCAGCCCCACAGAAGAAGCAAAGAGTGAGACTTTGGCCCTGGAGACTTCACTAAAGGCATTCAAAATTCCAACTATAAACAAAACACTGTGCCCTTTCAAACCAACCAATTTTCTAAAGCCAGCTTTGGCCCTGGGCCTCTAGTCACTCAGAATATGAGTAGACAGTTGAATGTGATAAAGTAAAGTGATAACTCTTTGGGAGATAAGCTCAGAGATCCAAAACAATGAAGGCTTTCAAAATGATCTTGAGTGAAATCTGTGTGTCTCATGAGCAACTTTACAATAGAAAATTTGGTTTGCCTGTGGTAGAATTAGTGGTATGTACATCTTAATGATAAAGGAAGCTGTGATACTTTCAGAAAATGGGGAAGAGAAGAAATAAAGTCACCAGGAAGACATACAGAAGGAAAACATCACTGCCCCCAGATGATTGTTCTTTCTTTTGAATGAGGCGTTAAGAGTTACTGAAAGGGTACAGGCTTGAGAGTCAGAGAGCTGTCTATGTTCAAATTCTGGTTTCACTCCCTATTGGCATGTGTGATTGGCATGATACTTAATCTCACTGAGCCTTACCTGATATTGCAAAGGTTAAATGAAATAAGGTTTAGAAAGGGCTTACCCCAGTGTCTGGGATTTCATTAATGTTCCTTTTACCCTTCTCTCTTACAAGAAACCACATAATTTAACTTAAAGAAAATGAAAAAAAATGAAAAAATTATAAGAAAACAGCACTTGGATTTGGGGTCAAACACTGCCTTTTACATTACTTTTTTTTCTGTTAAAATAAAAGACAGTTTAGTCACTAATGACTATAGTAACAGCCATTGTCCCAGCTCTAACTGGTTCTGGGTTTTCTTTCAGGATATAATTTTCTTACTGGTGACATGGAAGAAAGAGTTGTATCCACTGTAAAATGAAGATAATAGTAAAAACCTCACAGAGTGTTGCAAAGATTAAATGAGATCGTGCATAAATGCATAAATGCCCATAGCTAGGTACCACTTAGTAAGGATATTACTAAGTTTCATTGTTACTGGGCTTTGCCTCTTTCATGGGACATCTGTGAGAATATGATATAATTGCCATTATTTCAGAACTGCCTGCAGTCCTTCACTACCTTCCTCATGAATTACTCTCTCACCAAGGCTCTTTTCCTGAAAGACTAGCACTCTAGCCTCCACAAGGTGCCTGTTTCTTTGCACACTACATACATGTGATTGTTTTTTAAACAAATCACAGCAGAATTTGCATTTCCAAATGAAAGATATATCCTTGAAAGTATATTAGAGACTAAAAGTCTTTTTCCTATAATACCCTCTACTCTGGGAACTTCCCTCAGAGCCTACTACATATCTCTATCTCAACAGAAGCAAACAGAAGATTTTGGTCCAATAGAGAAATAAATTTTCATGTAAATTGGTTCTGAAGGCAGTTCGGGATATTTTTGAGCAGTGGAAGCATACCTTTGCAAAATGACAACATTAAGGGAATACCATCACTTGGACATATTAATTATAAAATGATTTTTTAAAGCCACATCTTAAAAAACAAATTAAGGCCAGGGCGCCTGGGTGGCTCAGTTGGTTAAGCATCCAACTTCGGCTCAGGTCGTGATCTCACAGTCTGTTGAGTTCAAGCCCCATGTCAGGCTCTGTGTTGACAGCTCAGAGCCTGGAGCCTGCTTTGGATTCTATGTCTCCCTGGCTCTCTGCCCCTCCCCTACTCGTGCTCTGTCTCTGTCTCTCTCAAAAATAAATTAAAAAAATTTTTTTAATCAAAAAACAAATTAAGGCCTATAATCCCTCTTTGTGCCCCTTTTTAGGCTGGTAAGCTATAACTAGTACCTTGCCTGTTCATAGAACCCTAAAGTTTTACCCATATTTGGGGTATGAGGTATTTATTGTTTTCTTTTGTTTTCATCAGTTTAAGGATTCTTAGATTCTTTCCAGGGGGTCTCAGAGGACCTCATCCTTGAATACAAGGCCTTGCACACTGACTTGCAGCACTCAGAAGTGGCACAAATGTCCTCTGTCAGGCTGCATGTTCTAATTTGGGGTATGGAAATATGGTTGCTAAGTAAAGACAGGCAGGTATGACAGGAAGTAAAGCCTTAGCCATAAAGCCTGTGTTTAAGTCTTAGCTCCACTACTCACAAGGCACTTAATTATTCTGAGCCTCACATCTCCATCTGTGAAATGGGGAAGCTCTGCCTCATCAGACTGTGATGAGGGCTGGTCTGAGCATTAGAAGGCCCTTTTTTAAGCATCAAACATCAACCCCTCCCTGGCCCTCTGCACTCACCCAGACCCGTTGAGCTCTAACAAGAGGTCTCACCAAGCCCACGGGGCAAGCTGTGCAAAACAAGGAAGAAGTACCCTCACCGGTGGCCCGTGGGGTGGCCCGTGTCAGCTGTGGCCAAGACCTGTTCTGCCCATGCCCGACCCTCAGCAGGATGCCCCAGGCTCACCGAGCGCCTCTCCACACTCCCTTTTTTCCTGCCATTCTTGCCTGGCATGACATCCAGCGAGCGGTAGCTGGGTGGCTTCTCCTCAGGCCAGTTTGAGGGGTGTGAGCTGCGGCTGCGGTGGTGGGTTCCCCAGTTCCGGGACTGCCTCTCCTTCTCATCCTCCTCAGAGCTCCAGGAACTGAGGCCGGAGGGCAAGGGAGGGGAGTAGCTGCGGGGCCTGCGCCTCCGGGGCCTCTGGGCACTCTCCCAGGCACTGGGCCTGTGGTGTCGGCCTGAGTAGTGGCTCCGGGCAGGTGGGTGGTTGGGCCACCAGCGGGCCTCACTGGACGAGGGGCCGTCACTGAAGCTGTCCCTGTCTGACCAGGGCGTGGGTGACCCCCGCAGTCCTGAGGAGTGGCGCCTTCCCCTCCGAAGTTGATTCAGCTCCCGTCCCTCCAACCCCTGGTGGCGTTTAGGCTCCCCGTCCTGGGGCTCCTGGTGGAAATCAGAGTAGTGGGGCTGCCTTCGTCCCTCCCTCAGATCCCAGGCTCCAGGGGGAACTGGGGTGAGCCACTGCTGGCGGGAGGAGTTGCTGGTCCTCCGTGAGGACGGCAGGTCTCTGATCAGTGGAGGCAGGTGGATGATTCTGCGTTCCACAACCTCAGAGCCCAGGGAGGACAGCATGCTGCAGGCTTGGCCAGATATGGCTTTGAGGTCAGGGGGCAGAGGCTGGGCTGGGTTGAGATTCCGCAGCTCTTTCTCCAAATACTCTAGGACACCATTGGTGATGGGAGGGTGAGCAGTGGTCTGGCTCATTGGCATCTGTGGGAGGCTGGATCGCAGGGACAAATCTGAATGGAAACAAAGATAAGAACATACAGAACTGCTGGCCCAAAACATGTTTCTCACAACCATGGCACCAAAATGCCACATTTTTCAGCTTGCATCCATCCCGTCCCCATCCTTGATCATAGATATTCACTATATTGTCAAGAGGGCACCAACGCAGCCCATATTCCTACCCTTGCCCTCTGCCCTCTCCCATCCCAAACCTCTGGCAAGGTTTACCTCGCTGCAGCAGCGGGTTCATTGGATAAGATGAAACCTGGGAGCTCCTGTCCGCCCCCCAGTACAGGGGTTTTTCCATCATCTGAGGGCCTAGGGCCTGAGCCTGCTTCATGTACCGGTGGCGAGCCAGGGCTAGAGGGGAAAAAGGAGAAATGCAGACCCTCAGCCAGGACAAGCCCCATACCTCCCACTTCACTTCTCTTGCTAGGAGGCTTTGCTAAGAGGCCAGTTTCTGATCTATCTATCTATGAGTGAGAGTTAAGGGAACAGTAAACAACTGGTCATCTTGCCAAGAAGCTGGGAATCCTGGAGTACAGGCTGCAACCCCTGTACCCAAGGAAAGCATACCTATAAACTTGACTTCCTAGTCTTGAAAATATTGTATCATACTGCCATTCCCAATTTCACCTAAGATGTAGGTATATACGTGAATATTTGTAGGCAATCCAATCTTGAGTCCCAGGCCAACAAGGCCTTCAGCCACAGGCCAAATCTAGAAGGTGTCGATGCAAAGGATTTCAAGGCAGCTATGAGTCAGGGCCTTCCAGGGAAGCTCAGGGCTGCCTGCTCAGAGTGAAAAAAGCTTAAAAAAAAAAAAAAAAGATGTAGATGCTGAGGTCAATAGGCCGAATTACTGGTAAAAGGAGGGACACTGAAGAATGTTCTAGCTGGTATCCTAGCCCTGCAGCCCTGGGGCAGAGGGGAGAAACTAGTGGAAGGGAGGCAAGAGATGCAAAAAGCTGAAGTAGATCCCAGTGGATCCTTTCTACTCTTCTTCTTATCCTAAGTAGGGGGAATCTCTAAGGGATGCAGTGAAGGCAGAGAAGGAAGAAGGAAAATACCATTTTCTTTCAGGGCAAAGAAAATCATATTAAAAAAGTAGCACAAGGGATCTGTAGAAATGTCACTCCGGTTCCCTAGTGCAGCCATCTGAATGAAGCACACAATCCCCTCCTCTCTGCCCGCTGTCAGTATAAATTAAAAACAAAATCATTTAGTTGGTTTTGTTCATGAATTTCTATTTTGAGGTGACTGTGTCCCAAGGTCTCAGTCCATCCATGCATGTAGGAAATGGACTTGTGAGTTCAGGCAGGAACTGCCTGCCTCAGGCCCTCCACCTGGCACTCTCCCCTCCTCCTGGGCTCCTCCAGGCCTGTGGCCACCTGTAAAGCAACAGGGCTCTGCCTCAAGCTTCCTCCTGGTACAGTAAGAGGGGCAGATAAGCAGTCTGGACCTTGCTGCAAAGGGCCGGGAATTTTCTGAGGCCAACAGCTGATTGACCATCTGGACCCAATGGCTCCAGTGTGAAACAAACTTCCAGCACAACAGGAAGTGGTTGCAGCAGAGCCCCAAGAAATGTCCGGAGCTCCAGCCCTGGTGGTGCATCACAACCCAGCCTGGAGGAAATCAGATGCAAACCTAGACCAGCTCACCCAGCTGCCACACCTTCATGCTGTGGCACTGGACGGCACTCTAGACCCTCCACATGCTTTAGCACCTTCCTCTCCCTCTTGCTAAAAATGCCTCCCCTAGCTTCCTATATGTGCTACCATCAGCACACATAATGCCCAGCTTAATATGTATGTGTCTGTCACTTTACATAGGCTAACTAATCCTCAGAACCATCTGTTAACATAGGAATTAGATGAAGAAGCTGGGTGCAGGGAGGTTGACTTCTCAGTTTAAGGTACCATAGCTGGTGATGGATAGAGGTGCCACTCTCATGCCCAGGCCCGTGCTCTTTCTGTCAAATCACTGAGTCCCAGACTTCTTTATTTCTGTGATGAAAAACAAAACAAAACAAAACACCTTCCACAGTGGTACCTCCTCCCTTTATTACTCTCTAACTCAGCTCCACACCTTTCAAAACCCACTCCAGACTTTCTCTGCCTCTAAGGCCAGGGGGCATCTGACTTAGTTGGGAACAATTGAGTTCCCCACCCCTCTAACTGAATCCTGGCCACTTCCTTCTCCTACTCCCTTAATTCAATAGTAGAGAAAGGGAAAATTGGGCTTACTCTTTGCTCCTCAAATGATTTAACTGATGGGGACCCTCTGCACAGATACCTCCCTAGAAACCCTTCCAGATCCTCATGAGCTTTCCTATTAAATTTTCTATACTTCAGAGATCAACCCACCTGCTCCCTTCTTAGCTGCCACATCCTTTTCCCCAGGGGCCCTCCTTTCCCTGATGCAATGGAACTGTTGAGATGGGAGTGGAAAACATGGGCTCTGAGCTTCTCCCTTGCCCTCTGGTCCCATGGGGATGTCAGGGTTTTCTTCTGTTCACCTACTGAGGAATCAGATGGGCAAGAAAATAAGAGACATGGAGAAAGTAGCTAAGCCTCAAAAAAGCTCCTAATAAGTTATCTCTGAACCTCAGTGGAGTAGTCTGCCTTGATCACTTTAATGAGCTAGTGAAAAATACAGATTACTAGATCCTGCTCCCAGATATTCTTCAGTCTCAAGCAAAGCAAGTGACAGCTGTGTTTTCAATAAGCTTCCTAATTTTAGTGCAGGAAGCCCAACTGGAGTTTCCTATTAAGGATTCTCAAGGACCTCTTGAGAACTATGGTCCTCAAGGTTTAGTTTCCTTAAATATAAGCTTTGAGGGTCAGATGGACTTCAGCCTGAATCCTAGCACGTACCAGCCATCTGATTTTGGGTGACGTTCCAGAGTGTGCAGGCTCAGGATCCTCATCTGTAAGCTAAGAATGGAAATACCTATTCCGTAAAGTTGAGGTTAAAAAGCAATACATATGAAATGCCTAATAGATGAGAGACAGTCAAGAGATAGTGGCTCTCATTGTTAGAATAAGTCATGTTTTTTGCCTTAGATCTCATAGGAAACAAAAGTACACATTTGGAGCCTAAACTACCAAAGACATGTTTATCTTCATTTCTGAGGAAAACCCAGGGCATATTCTTTAAGACGTCTCTTCTGTGACAGAAATGACATGGTACCTCCCCCTCCTCCAGAGACCCACGCCTCTCCTTCCCTGTAGCCAGCATCATCTGTGGTGCTTTGAAGCTTTCCAACTGCACTTGCCTGTAACTGCTTACCAGCCACTCCCCACTTTTACAGAACTCCTTCTTTACTCTCTTTCGAACCATGGTCACACAGTCCTTTCACTTTTTCCCATACTACCAGTCCCCCTAACTTGGCTGGCTAATCATTTCAGTGACATCCTGAGGAGATCCCTAGAATCCCATGCACTTGAACTCTTAGCATTTCAGCTCTAGCTTCTGGACCCATGCTGCCAGAGCTGACTACACAGACAACTGACTTCAAGTAGCCCTCCTCAACTAGCTTCCCTTGACTGATCTGTCAACCCCAATCCCCTCCTCTAGAGCAGTAGTTTAAACATTCCCCACTTCTCATGTCTTTCCCTCCCCCATGAACTTTCAGCTGATGACATCATCTTGGTTGAGGAAGAGGAACCAGCCCTGGGTATAGAATCAAGAGAACTGTCTAGTCCAGGATTTGCCACTAACTAGCCATGTGAAATTGTGCAAAAGTCTCTCTAGGCCTTACTTCCTTCAGCTTTAAGCAGAATGGGGAGGTGAGTGGGTAGATGAGAGATTCCCAGTGTGGCCCATGACCCTACTCGGGGGATGCCTAGAGGCCCTGTGGGTGGGATGGCCAGTAACTGATATAGGGATCAGTTTCAGTAACTTTCATCTTCTAGTTCTACTGTGGGTCATTTACCAGTACTAAGTGAAATATCAGGGGTTACTAATATTTGGTGTCATTTCATTTTTCTCCTTGCTGGTCCTCTATTAACTCACTGTGAAGTGGGAGAAAGTTAGGGACGTGAGCTGTGATTAGAGAAGGCCAAGACACACTAATGCCATTCTCAAGCTCTGTTCTGCCTCTAGAATTTTGATTTACTGAAATTAAGACAGGCCGGTATGAGATCCCTCAGCTTCCTCCCTTATACTTTGGATCATTCCCCACATTTTAATGACTTCCTCTCTCTCTCCAGAGGTCACACTGCCCTTCTCCTCCTTTCTATAGATAGTCCTTTTGCTGTACACCTGATGTCAATCCCAACTGTTCCACCTGCTCAGTGATTGCCTCACCTCAAAAGGCTTCACTTTCGGGGCACCTGGATGGCTCAGTTGGTTTAAGCGTCTGACTTCAGCTCAGGTCATGATCCCATGGTTAGTGGGTTTGAGCTCCATGGATGGAGCTTGCTTTGGATTCTGTGTCTCCCTCTCTCGCTGCCCCTCCCCCACTTGTGCTCTGTCTCTCTCAAAAAAAACAAAAAAACAAAAAAAACAAAACAGAAACCATTGGGGTGCCTGGGTGGCTCAGTCAGTTAAGCATCTGACTTTGGCTTGGGTCATGATCTCACGGTTCGTGGGTTCGAGCCCCTCATTGGGCTCTGTGCTGACAGCTAGCTCAGAGCCTGGAGCCTGTTTCAGATCTGTGTCTCCCTCTCTCTCTGACCCTCCCCTGCTCATACTCTCTCTCTCTCTCTCTCTCTCTCTCTCTCAGAAATAAATAAAACATTAAAAAAAATTTTAAAACATTAAAAAAAATTAAGGCTTCATTTTACTCATTTCCTACGGGCCTTGGTTCTTTGCCTACAAATGTACTTGGGGTTTTCATATTCTAATCAACACACACCCCCTTCCCCATGCAAGAGCCCTCCTTAACAACTTCTGTCCCCTCTATGCAATCTCATCTTGTCATCAAAATTCTCAAGACAGTCTGCCTCAGTGACTCACTCTGAAAGTGACCTCATTTGCTCAAGTCAAGGGATCTTTATTTGTGGCCTTCATTTCTTTATTTTACCAGTACTTCTAAATGAACTCTAACCACTTAAGAGAAATCATTCTCTCCCAGAACCTGTTTATCAGCTTACTGACAGTGGATACATTTATCATTTGTGTTGGCTTTGTCCCAAGTTCTGCCTGTTTTTAGTGTCCCACTGACTTAGGATCCTAAGAAGGCATCTCGGGAGTGGTTTTCTCATCTCTTTATATATATTACTACTTTAGTGATAGTGACTTCTCCTTGGTATCTCTCCCTGAGGCTCTTGAAAGAAAGGTAGGGAGCTCCACAGCCCAATATTGAGTTCTCTGCTATTTTTCCTCTCTTTCAGGAGGTCACTGGTTTCTCTGCCAAGTCCATTGTGATCTACACATAGAAGTTGTGGCAGCCTCTACTGTGTGACATTCAGGCACTTGTAAGTCAGATGAACATGGATTCAACACGATACTGCCACTGTTACTTTCTAGCTGTGTGACTTCTCTGACCTTCAGTCTCCTCATCTGTTAAGTAGTAATAACATAGCCTTCTAGGGTTGTGAGGATTCACAGAGGGAAATAGATCCAAGGGGCCTACACATAGCAGACATCCAATAAAATTTAGTTCTCTTTTCCTGTAAGACAACAACCTCAGAACACACTGTAAGACAACAACCTCAGAACACAGGCCTGAAATTAGATTCAGGCCATTTAACATTCTTGACATCGTAGATTAAGTTTTTTTCTATCTTAGGAGGTAATTCCTTATTTTTCCTTTTAAAAAATTTCCTTTCAAATGTACCAGGCTGATAAAAGTGATTATCTCTGAGTGCTGAGATTAGTCTTTACATTTTCCTGAATTTCTCAAATTTTCTACAATGTCATACTTTTACTTACATCATCAGGGGAAACAATGTTATTTTCATAACACAAAACTCCTTCCATTTAAAGCAGCTGATTCCACTCCAGCTACTTATTAAGAAAAATCATTTATAGAATAATTTTCTTTAAAAATTTGGCATTCCACAACCTAATTTTTTAGGGTATATCATAATTTTGGTTTAAAAGGTCAAATTTTAGGGGTGTCTGGGTGGCTCAGTCAGTTAAGTGTCTGACTTTGGCTTAGGACGTGATCTCACAGTCTGTGAGTTTGAGCCCCATATATGACTCTGTGCTGACAGCTCAGAACCTGAAGCCTGCTCCCTTTCTATGTCGCTCCCTTGCTTATGCTTGCGCTCTCTCTCTCTCTCTCTCTCTCACACACACACTCTGTGTGTGTGTGTGTCTCTCTCTCTGTCTCTCAAAAATAAATAAACGTTTGACGTCAAATTTTAGCCCAGAGAAAGATCACATTAAGAGCAAGATTTTCCGTTCTCTCTCTCCTTCATCTAAATCTCTTTATCTAAAAAGAGATTCTCAAAGTGTGGCCCACAGCTCAGCAGCATCACATCACTTGGTGACTTTTGAGGAATACAAATTGTTAGGCCTACCCCAAACCAATTAAACCAGCATCTCTGGACATAGAGCCAGCAACTAAGTTTTAACAAGTCCTCTAGGTGATTCTTAAGTTTAAGAATCACTGCTGTAACTCCTTTCTCCTCTATCTGTTCTTTTCAAGTCCTCTCTAAGAGGTGGCCTTCTCACTTACCACTACATTCAAGCCATTTGCTCTAGCCACTCCCTGTCCAAGCAAGGTGAGTTCGAGGAACAAGTACTGAAGCACAGGCATATCAGGGCCACTGAAGAAATGCCATCAACAAGCAGAACCATTGGAAGGAGGCCTAAGGCAGGCTCAGCTGTAGACAGACAGAAATCTTCCCACTTGGGTCTAAAGCTTCCTTGAGCATTATATTCTGCACTGAGGTCAAAGACCTCTGAGCCTGCGAAGGGAGAAGGGCATGGAGGAGAACCTGGAGGAACCCAAGGTTTTGATGTGGGAGTGTGAAGTTCATCTGTTTGGGACATCAGGCTCCAGCACCACCCCATCCCACTGCCCATCTGTTCTCTCTCACCTTCCTCAGGGCAGCAGCAGAGGGCGGGACAGCAGGGGCAACGGATATAGCAGCAGCAATACTGAGGACAGCACTGGCACCAGCACACTCCAATCAGCAGGAGCAGGAGGAGGGCTCCCAGAATGATGAAGATCACTGTCAGCCAGTCTGCAGGGGAAGCACCAAGAGGAAGCTAATCAAATATGCAGGTGAATGCTTCCCGGTCTAAAATTCTAGAGGTCTAATAAATAGAGTTCTTGACCTATAGGTTAAGTTTAATCAGTTACTGGCAATAAATAAATAAATAAAGTTTTAGTTTTGATAAGGGACCTTCAGAGGTTGGCAATCCAACAATAACTCGGGCTTACTTGTTTCTGTGCTGTATGTAAAAGTGTCACAGTGATGAGGTGGCTAAATAGAAAGCTCCAGCAGCACTTACGCAGGACGATGAGCTTCACCTCCTTATCTGGGTCTCCTGATGTGTCCCCTGGAGCCTCAATGGTGCAGTAATACACTCCATGGTCCCACCACATCACTTCATTTATCACAAGGTCTGCTCCTGCAGGGAGGGAGGGCAAAAGTACCAGGAGTTAAAGAGAGGGCCCTGGTATCTGACCTATGGCTTAGGACTCAGCACTGTCCTTCCACATCCTTAAAGGGCCCCTCAAAGTTCAGAGGAAGGCCTCAATTCCTTTTTCTGAGACCATCCTATTTCTCCAAACAGTCTAATAATGGTAGAACTCCCCACCATTCATTGAACCCTCCCAGGTGCCTTGAAAGGAATTTGGACATCGTCTCATTGAATTCCCACCACAGCTCTCTCAGTGGGTGAGGTGACATTACACTGTCTCCCAGGGTGTCTTCTCCCTTTTCCTCCCAGTCTTATAATTTTTGGTCATGTACTTGGCCATCTAGAATAAAGTCACTATTTCCTGTCATCTCTTACAGGTAGACATGAACATGCAACTCAGTTCTGGTGGATAGAATGTAAGCAGAAGTGTCACATGATGGCTCCCAGGAACTTTCTAAAAACAGTTTGGGAACACCTTGGTCCTTTTCTTCATCTTTTCTTTTACACTGTTATCTGTAAAGCAAATATGATGACTGCCATCTTGGACCACGAGGGAGAAAAAGAGTTTCTTGGTGAGCTAGAGCTTGGGACTATCCCTGAGGACTTAATGGAACAGAGCCACCATACTAATTTTGGACTATCTACCTCCAAATTTATACATGAGAGGGGAAAAAACTTCTTTATTAAGTCTCTAATACTTGGAGCTTTTGCTTATTCACAATCAAACTCAACACAATCCTGAGACGGTAAGTATGATTATTAGCCACATTTCAAATGAAGAAATCAAGACTCCAGGAGGCCACGAAACTGGCCTAAGAACAGAGAAATAGTGCTTAGCAGAAGTAGGTTCAAATGCATGTCTCTCTGCTGGGAAGCTGGTGCTTTTAACCACTAAGTCCTAATGTCCTTTCCACTAAGTCCTGTGGAAAACTCCACAGCCTACATCTCTCACTGGCTATGCATGGATCCCTTTGGATCTTGGGTTATGAGATGAAGTTGAATAAGTAAGGATGAAATGCCAATATATAAGGGTAAATGTTATTCAATATTCAAGAAAGGATTTTCAGTTCTCAGGTGCACCAAGTGTTGTGCTACTTAAGATGAATGGTATGTTCAAGTTTAGTAAATGCAACAAATCTTCACTAAAGATCTTTTGTGGGTCCAGAACTGAGTCAGAGACTGGGAAGATCTGCATAGGAACAAGACTCCTTTGTCCTAACAGGGCTTAAAGTCCAGTCAGAGGATCAGGGCAGCTTCCACATCCCTGCTATTTCACTCAAAGTAAGTGACAGGGGACATTTTCAAAGTCTTTAAAAAAAAACAAAACCAACAAACCAACAAACCAACAAACAGAGCCTTAGCCTTATAGACTTGCTCCTGCTTAGTTGTCAATCATATCTACAATTCTCCATTATCTGTTTCTCAAAAAATATTTATTGAGGAAATGAAACAAAAATGCAAGATCATGCACCACTGGGCCTAACTTCAACTTTTGTTTCCTTTTCTTTCTACGTCAATCTCTACGATTTTTTCCTACCCATGATTTTCCAAACACACTACCTTTCCCAGAAATGAGCTTCCCCTAGACTTGGAAGAATGGGGAAAGTGCTTTGGAGAGGTTCTCCCTCCAAGTTAATGTGTCTCATAGGTCTGCCCTAGTTTTTATTAGAAACAAGAGCATTTTTTTTTCAGGGATGTCACAGAAATGAGGACATTCAGATATGTTAATATTTAGATTTTTTATGTTTATTTATTTTTGAGAGAGAGAAAGAGAGCAGGAGCAGGGGAGGGGCAAGGAAAGACAGAAACCCAGAACTCAAAGCAGGCTCCAGGCTCTGAGTAATGTGGGGCTCAAACTCACGAGCTGTGAGATCATGATCTGAGCTGAAGTCAGACGCTCAACGAACTGAGCCACCCAGACACCCCTGGATGTGTTAAAATTTTAAACAATCCAAGAACCAATTTGACCGGGTCATCTCAAATGATGCAAAGCACAGGGCATAGAAGTGTCAGAAAAGAAGGGCTCTCGAAAGTCAGGACAAGTATGGAGGTAGTAGAAATAAAAACCAAGAGGAAATACTGCTTTTCCATGGGGGTAAGGAAGAAGCAAAGTTTGATCCAAAAGTGACTGGGAGTGGTAACAGTGGATAGTATTGTTCAAAATTAGAACAACAACAACAAAAAAAGAAAAGCAAGGACTGTCTATCACCTTGTCACCTATGAGGATTTTTATCCTTCAAAAACTGTAAATGAGACTTGCCAATTAAAGAGACTTTAAATTTTGGAGTCAGATCAGGGCTCATTCTGCAGGCTCTGGGAAAAACAAAACCACCCTGAATCTTTGAGAATGTACCTAGAGACCAGAATAGGACAGATGTTCCCTAAAGCTAAGAGTTCAAGAGCTCGCTTGGGGACAGCAGAGATTGCATGTAAAAGGATCAGACTTCAATATTACAGCTAAAGTATTAGACACAAATTTGGAAGCAAATGTTAAGTTGGCTCCCTTTAAATGATCTACTTTTAAATGATCACTGAATATTCACTGATTTCCTCACATTGTTGCCACAGGTACCCTGAGTGGCCTACTTAGTGTATTCTCTACCTTTTTTTCCCTTTTAAGCAGCAAATATTTATTTAACACGCATGTGAAGCTCACTAAAACAGGCCTTGAATAATCCATCATGGCAATCCTGGATTACAAGGTATGAATGTAATCTAATCCATTCATCCAAAAATGTGCTGAGTGATCGTAACTAAAGTTCACTGAACACTTAATATTTGCTAAGTGCTTTGTGCATATCATCTCACTTAATCCTGACAAATCTCCATGAGATGGGGAATACTGCGGCAAGTCCCATTGTGTAGAAAAAAAATCAAAGGGACTTGCCCAAGTTCACATACCCTATAAGTGCAGAATGGGGACCCACACCAGAGTCTGACTGCAGACTGAGGACTCTGACCACCACTCCCTGTACTAGGCACAAATAATAAATATGTTTTAGACATAGCTCTTAGATATGATGTTTAATACTTACTTCAGTGTAGGGAAACAGAGCCCACTATGTCCATCTTTCAGATGTGGTATTGGATGTCAGAAAAAAAATTTACTGGTCAATGAACTAGCAGGCGGAAGCAATGGGACACCCGGTCAGGTCTTTTGATTCTAAGCATGATGCTCTTTCCTCTGCCAATGGGTGATGATGGTGTCAAGGTGGCCACCTACTTGAAAGTCCCTTAGATATGTACAATAGGAGTGGCCAGAGGGAAACTCGGGGCCCTGAGAGCAATTTATGGGAGGGAGCAAACAAGCCTGATCCACACCTTAGCCATAAAAAAGCAAAAGAAACCACCCACTCTCAGACCTTTAGCCAAAGCTGTAGGACATCTTCTCATCCAGAGACACCTTCCAGGGGAGTGACTTCAGATAGTGGTACAGCACTCTATGTATCTGGCACTTGCCTCAAACAAACAAATGGAATAAAAAAAAAAAAAAAAGGGAAATCCCCATGATGACTCAGCCTGTCAGGCATGGTGTCTGCATCTCTTGCCACCCCCATTTCCCTCCTGCCTCCCCTGCACTCACGGTTCTGGATGGTGATCTTGCGCTGCTGGTAATCCACCCCCAGCACAGGCTCATTCTGTCCCCGCCTCTGAGCCACAATGCGAACCTCCCGCTGGCTGTCGTTGCAGTCATTGGATGGGTCCTGGCCCAGGGATAAAGCTGCCTGGTAAGCTGAGGAAAGGGGACACAGCTAAGTCACACAGCAGTGGGGGATTTCCATGAAGAAAGGCACGTTTACCCTTCCCTGGAGCAGGGAAGCTTCTCAATTTTTCCTGGGCTCATGCATCTACTGGGAATCTTGCTAAACATGAAGATTCTGATTCTGCAGGTCTGGAGTAAGAATCTGAGTCTGCAGTTCTAATGATCTCCCCAGGTGATACTAATGAATCTTTGAGACGCAAGACCCAGACCCCTCTAAAAGGCCATCATTTCTAAATCCTGGCTGCATGCCCGTGTTTCCCATCCCAACTACCCTTGCCTCATTTTTGGTAACCCCAGGTTCTGCTACCAAAGGGTTCATCCACCTGCCCTTACAATGCATTTGCTGGTGGCAGATGCCTACTACTTTGGTCTCTCTTCCTCTCTCTTTATGTAAAGAGTAACCCTCTGTAAATCATGCCTTGATTTAGAGATGTGTCCTTGGGGACGAGGCCAGGTTCTGTCAGTGACTCAGACATTTAGGTATCAGGGTTCATACTATAAGACATTAATCAGGGCTAAAAGAGGTAAAGCCGATGCCTCCCCCGCCCCATTTTTCCTCATCTCAGGATGCTCACTTCCTTCCTACAAAGACAGTGTCTACTTCTAGTATCAAAAATTTCTACAAGGTTAATTGCCCAGGGCTGCCAGTGAGGATCTGCGCTCCTCTGTTCCTTGAGAGAGGCAGAGGTAGACAGCTAGAAAGAGCTTTGTTTTCTGAGTGCAGAACTGCTGTGAGTGGGGCAGCTGCTACTGTGAGGTAGGATGCAGCTAAGCATAGGGAGTTGTGCAGCCCTGAGAATGTGTTCCTGGGGGCAGTGAGCTCTTGCTCACTGAGAGGGTTCAGTGGGCCACCAGGAAGGCTGGCCGTAAAACAGAGTGTGGCAGTGTGTGGAGGTTCACAAACGGCCACTCCTCAGGGTCCTGGCGAGTGTAGGAGGCTTCTTGTCTATATTCTAAGGTGGTGAGGGGGGTGGTGGCAGTCTGCAGACTCCTCTCAGTGTGCTGGCATGCAACCAGGAACGGGCTGGGAGGCAGGACGTGCACTGCCTTTTAAAAAAACTTAATGTCTGAGCTGCCTAAATCTTTTTAGGAACAGGTTGGACATAAATTTTAAAATAAAATAGCATGTGACCAGGAATAAGTTACTTCATCTGTCTGGGCTGTTTGTTCATCTATAAAATGAGGAGACTGCATTAAGTGAGCTTTGTGGTTTCTCAAAAGGATTTGTGATCCTAAATAATTCCTACGCCCTTATGGCAAGCTTCACAAGAAGGGCCTGGGCAGAGTGGGGAGGGCACTCACATGCAGAGTAGTAGTCAAAGATAGGGTCCTTGCAGAAGGACTTGAAGCGCCACGTCACTACCACATCCTGGAGCTGGGCAGAGGTGGTGTAGTCACATTTGAGGACGACGGAAGCAAACAGGGTGACGTAGCGCTCCGTGTGCTGGACTGTCACCAACAAGGACAGGCACCCTGCAGCCAAGAGCAGGAGACAACGCTGAAAGCATACTATGTCTCTGAGAGGTGATCTACTTCTTTTCATGGGGTAATAAAAGCAATGCAAATAAGTGAACACACTGACTAGTTGAGAGCTCATAGGCAGAGTCAGAGGCAGAGACTGCAGACATCCTGGATGAAATGAAGGAGAGAAAGAGCAAGGATGATTTGCAAGGATATCATGGTCCATTGATGGTGATAACACATCCAACAATAAACTGTATTAAAAGAAGGCTGTATATGTACTAGCATGAGCTTGCTAATACATGTATATATTTTCTCATGTCACTTTTCTTAAAATGTTTCTCCACGGGCACCCTCCTACACTGTTGGTGGGAATGTAAATTGGTACAGCCCCTCTGGAAAACAGTGTGGAGGTTCCTCAGGAAACTAACAATAGAACTCCCCTATGACCCAGCAATAGCACTGCTAGGAATTTACCCAAGGGATACAGAAATGCTGAGGCCTAGGAGCACATGTACCCCAATGTTCATAGCAGCACTCTCCACAATAGCTAAAACATGGAAAGAGCCTAAGTGTCCATCAACAGATGAATGGATCAAGAAGATGTGGTTTATCTATACCATGGGATACTACATGGCAATGAGAAACAATGAAATCTGGCCATGTGTAGCAACATGGATGGACCTTGAGGGTGTTATGCTGAGCGAAATAAGTCAGGCAGAGAAGGACAAATATCATATGTTTGCACGTATAGGAGGATTAGGAGGAACTTGATGGAGGAACAAGGGGGAGAAGAAGGGCGGAAATGGTGGGGGAAAGGGAGAGAGGCAAACCATGAGAGACTCTTGAATGCTGACAAAAACTGAGGACTGATGGATGTGGGGGGGAGGGGGGGTGGGCATGGAGGAGGGCACTTTGGGGATGAGCACTGAGTGTTATGTGGAAACTAATTTGACAATAAACTATTTGTAAAAAAAAAAAAAAATAGCACTCTGTAAAAAAAAAAAAAAATGTGTCTCCACTTCCTCAAGGAAGTTCAGTAGGCCTATGAGGCCGGTCAAGTCTGCCTTCACCCTTTCTCTGCTGCCTCATCTCCCTTCACACCCCACCTCATACTGAGGGTATCTGCCACCCTGAACTTGCTTCATTCCTTCCCATGCCACGCCTTCTCCAGGTCTTCCTGCTTGTGGACATCTTGGCTGGATCAGTCGTCTAGAGCTAGCTACCACTCCATTCTCTTCACAAGAGAATTCACATCTTCCTTAGGGCTTCAGTGGCACCCTTGCCTCCTCAAGAAGCCTATTCTGGGGTGCCTGGGTGGCTCTACTGGTTAAGCATCTGACTTTGGCTCAGGTCATGATCTTGTGGTCTGTGAGTTTGGTCCCTGCATTGGACTCTGCTGACAGCTCAGAGGCTGGAGTCTGCTTCAGATTCTATGTCTCCCTCTTTCTCTCCCTGCCACTCCCCTACTCGTGTGCACGCACATGCACTTTCTCTCTCTCTCAAAAATAAATAAATGTTTAACAAAAAAAAAGCCTTCCCTGGCCGCAAACATGGGAGAGGGGACCGCTGTGTTTTCCCAAAGTGCCTCTTCCTACCCCCAGGCAACACTTTTCACATGCCTTGGTGATGGCCAGTTAAGTGCAGGCTCTGAGCAGCTGACTGAGTTTGTCTCTGACTCATTGTTTCAGCACAAGCACCTCATCCTGTGCTGTCACCTCCTTGGCACCCAACAGATGTTTGTTGAATAAATAATGGAATGAATGACCAAGAATACATCAACAGTAGAAACTGGCAGTGCAGGCTGTTGACATAAGCATGAGAGCATAAATAAAAATGATAAGATTGTGACAAATTTTATCAAGAAAAACTTGAAGAAATTAAGAATTTTTCCTTTCTCTTTTTTAAAACTACTTTCCCCAAAGCCTCTTAAGCCTACAAAGCCTACAAACATATTTGCGGCTCCAGGTCTGCTTTGATGAGGAACCAGGTGGCACAGAAAATCAGGTGGGACATTGGTGTGGTCAGGGGTCCACACATAAACAACATCTTAGAATGTTTCTATGTCAATATGGTTTCTAAGCCAAGTTATAAGGGATCTTCTTTCTCATAGGAGGTTTAGCTCAGAATAATAGTTTTCAAACTTGAACATGCACCGCCAGGAAGACTTGTAACAGCCCAGATCACTGCCAGTAGGAGTTTCTGATTCAGGAAGACAGGTGGGGCCCAAGAACCTACATTTTGGGTTTTTTTTTTTTATGTTTTTATTTATTTCTGAGAGAGAGAGAGAGAGAGAGAGACAGTGTGAGCAGGGAGGGTAAGAGACAGAGGGAGACACAGAATCCGAAACAGGCTCAAAGCTATGAGCTGGCTGTCAGCACAGAGCCTGACGTGGGGCTCGAACCCATGAACTGCGAGATCATGACCTGAGCTGAAGTCGGACGCATAACCGACTGAGCCACCCAGGCGCCCCAAGAACTTACATTTCTGACCAGATTCCAGGAAATGATGATACTACTGCTCTGGGCATCATACTTTGAGAACCACTGGTGTAGACTAGATTAAAAACAAAACAAACAGGCTTTGGACTCTGATACAACTGGGTTCAAATAACATTTCACTATTTATTTGGACATTATACGAGTTATTTACTCTGAGTTTTTGTTTTCTTAGCTGTGACTGGAGATTATAATAGTACTAACCTCATCAGGTCCTTGAAAAAATGTAGTGAGATAATTCTCTTCTGGCACTTGGCATGTGCCCGGCACATAGGCTGCTGTGTTAGTGTCAACGTCTGAGTCTTAGTCTCTTTTCCTCTTTTCCTTTATTATGAAGGCCAAAGAGAAAGGGGTTCAAGTTGGGGTTCTCTCCAGGAGGTTCTCAGGTAGAATGGCTTCAATATGACTGATTTATTCCTACAAACACAAACATTTGGCCTCCACTCTCACTCCTTACAAAATAGTTGGGTGAGCCTGGCTCAAAAGGCCAGCACCAAACAGTTCTGAGTCCTGCCTCACCTCTGGACACAGCCCTCATGAAATAGTAAGTTGTGACTTATGATGGGCACATGCACCCACTTTTCTCACGTCCACAGAAAGAGCAGAGTGCTGCTCAGGGCAGTCCCTTGCCCCCAGAAGTGATCTAAACTGTCTCCAGGGCTGGGCTGAAATGAGGATGTGCCTATAACAAACCTGCTAGAAAGAGGTTCTGCAGGGGAGACCTGTATATGGGGAAGACTTCATGGAAGAAATATATAAGCTGGACCTTAAGACTCAGGTAGGATTAAGATCACACATGAAAAATAGAGAGGAGGCAGAGAAACTCATGGCTTCAAGACAGAAGAAAAGAGTGAGCAAAGGCCCTTATCAGAAAGGGACAGTTATTTACAGAGAGAAGAGGGCACCTAACTGGCTAGTATTCTGGCTTTATGGGAAACAGAGGAATAAATAAGGTGGTGCTGGTGGTAGAGTCTAAATCACACTGAAGCATCTATTTCTAGTTAATGGATAATCACTGGAGACTTTTTTGTAGAGTAATAGGGCAAAAGAGTAAGACTCGTGACTTCCTCATCTAGCTATAAAGATCATCATTTTGAAATTGCTGTCTTTTACCAGCTACAAGATTCCTGGAAATTAGTCCAATCAGAATGGAAGAGCCAGCTGCCAGCATCTCAAGCCTAACATGAATTGTTTTGTAATCTGCTTTATTATTTTTGCTTCTCTACCCTCACCACCCTCTTTGGTTTTTTCCAGAACTGACTTGACACAGACCTTGGAGCTTTTCCCCAACACAGCTTTAACTGAAGAGAAGTCGCTACCAGTAAGCTTTTGACAATGACAGGATGGCACTGTCAACACCAGCTTATTTTGCTCAGCAAAAACATAGACTGGAATGGAAATAAAAACACCTACTTGTGGCCTAAACAAAATCCTATGTCCATGCAGTACTTTCAAATATTTTCTTTTACACACTAAATATGATCCCTGGGAGGAGATGAGCAGTGCCATTTCATACACCACAAATCTGAGACTGGAAAAGGTGAGTGGCTTGTCTATAGTCACTCTACTTTCTAAGAAGGTCAGAGTAAAGATTCCACCCCTGAGCAGTGCTCTTGCCACTATGCCTGGTTATTCTTTAAATAAAGGAAGATGTTTGGTACTCAGTATCCTGCAAATAATTGTGGAGTGTAGAGCCAGGCTATAATCAGCAGCAATCACTGATACTGTGATTAATAACCTGCATGTTCTTTATTTTGCTGAATGGTAATTTGATATAAATAGCAATTTATGCAAAGGACTCTAGTGAACATTATTTGTATAGAGATGGAACATTAAGAGGGAGGGCAGGTTTGCCGGGAGTCAGAGAAAGGAATTTGTTTGAAACTCGAAGTTGTTCTGGGGTAGCTTTGAAAATTGCTGAATCTTACACTCTGAGGGAGAAGAATGAGGACAAGGGTGACCACTTTCATTGCCAAATTCTCATTCAGTTCCCTTCCATGAATGCCTTTATTATAGCCAAAACACAGCTGAGGTGACATGACTCACCTTTATCAACGTCAGCACTGGCTTTGCTGCCTGGGTACTACCCTTTCATCCTCTCTTAGATTTCATCCCTTATGTGAATTTCAAGCCTTGATTGAAGTAGATCAGGTTCCCACAACTTTGACTGTATTGAGCTCACTCGCACTCTCTCCAGAGTTCTTTCAGCCCCATAGTGTCTGCACTCTCTGACCTACACCTCTTACCCTCCACAAAAAGAGTGGGGAAGAGTCCCAGGACAAGTTACTGAGCAACAGCAAACCTCTCTCCATTTTTCTCAGCTGTTGCTGTGGATCTGAGGATCTATTGTGTGCCAGGTGATGTACATACATTGCCTCTAATACTCAGAAACCCCTCGAGGGTGAGACTAGCCCTGCTCATATATGTGGGCAAAGCGTCAGAGACTATAATAAATCAAGTCCTCTCTCAGCCTCAGGATTTGTTTCCGCTGGCACGCAAACCTGATCTTTCCCA